CATTTGGTTGCATAGTTATATTATGTAGCATTCTGTATGTTAGTAATTCTCACCTTTATCTAACTTTATAATTATATATGTTAATAAATATGATTTTAATCCGAATTCAAATCCGATTCGATCCGAATCCGAGCTAAATAGGATATCGATTGGGACATTTAGTCCGATGACCCGTTAGTTATCCGAATTCGATAATCCATTTGTTTAACAAATCGGATACGAATTTGCTCGATCTGATCCGAATCTTATTCATTGACAGGTCTAAATGTGTTGCTTGAGTATTGTATTTATGAGATAAATGCATTGTACAGCTATTTAAAAGTTGCCGAGAGTTGCATTTTGTAATATTAATGTAACTTTGTTTCATTATGACATACTTTGTTGCATTATGACATAGCTCTGGGTGGATTGAAGCCTTAGGCCAAAGGCCTTAGTTGATTGCAAGGCACCTAAATTTATTGTTTCCTTATTTTATCACGTACACTTCTTAAAATTTTTATTTTCTTGTATTAGTAAGTCCCTAAAATTATTAGAACCTATTTACAGTTTCTAAAATCATCATTTCCTTATATTATTAGACTTTATAAAATTCTTATTTTCTTATATTATTAGACTCTAACTAATATACAGATTTTTACAAAAAGAATTTTTCATTGTAAAATTTTTCAATAAAGGTAGTGGGATCTTTTCTAACTTCCAAAGTAGATGATGAGGGTCGAGTCTTCAGAGGGACAAAGTATGAATGGTCTTATCAAAGAGCTTTATTTAAATAAATATTATTTCTCCTATTAAAAGGTCATTTTTATAATTTTCACTTAATACCTCAAATTATATCGTTCCCCTCCTCCACCACGTAATCTTCTGGACTGGAGGGATCCCATTAAGTTATTTTATAACGTGGAAAAAAATAGAAATCCAATCCGAGTTGTTGAATACATGGAAAAAATTGAAACCCTTGCTTTTATAAAATTTATTTACCTTTCAATAAATAAAACAAATAAAAAAAAAAAAAAAAGTTGCAAGGAGCAAGTAGAAAAATTAGCTTCTTCCCAGTTATCTTGGAAAGAGCACGGTTTTCAATGACCAACAACCAAAAGAACATTAATCCAACCAATCCATTTTGTTTTTCGAACCATTTATAGATGAAGTATGCGAGTCTAGAGTAAAATTTTGAAACCTTTACAATTTAGAGACATTAATGGTTGGTTTGGTTGATAGAAATCAATTATGAAAAGTGAAAGTGAAAACAAATAAGAAGATATAAAAAATTGCATAAATTTTGTAGGCCAAATTTAAGTAACTAATTAGTATCTGTTTTCAACCATGCTAATTAAGGCTCTTATTAATCATAAACTTGTACGACAAGACCTCCAAAAAACTTTATAATATGGTTTATAAATTAATGATGCTTACACTGCACATGACCTTTGCAGATGACATGAAGATTGCTAACATCATCATTACGTAATGTGCGACCAATACAACAATCAAAGAACGAAAAATTCATTAGTACCTAGTTTTAAATGAACAAGTTGTATATGGTATCATATGAAATTCATTAAATTGAAGAAGAAGACAAACACAGTACACGCCACTGTACACCATATTTGAAATCTATCCGTTTTGTGAATATTTGCATTCACAAAGAATTAAGTACAAAGATATATTATATACCCAACAAGAATTAATAGCAAAAAAATAAATAAGTTCCACTCTGTTTGGAGGATTTTAATTTCTTCAACCATTGTGGATTATCTCTTTAATTATTAATTGAAGATAAAACACGATTTCAACACACTTACGTTGTAATTTGTAAACGACGACTAACTTGTGTGAAAATCACATGTTTATAGAAATAATTAAACTTAATTAATTGCTTAATTAGTATTCATAAAAGTAGTCTAATTACGTACGTGGTGCATGCACTCCCAAGTCAAAGTCATTGCCATGCTACCTTACGAAAATCAACCATTCACATCCACATCTCTTTCTGGATGGAATCCAATCCACCTAGTTTGTAACGGAACCATAAATTTTCTTTAGAGGGGCAAATCATTAACAATAAGAAATTTTGAAATAAAATAATAAAGAAAGATTTTTTTTTTTTCAATTTTAATTCTTAAAAATTTTGTGGGACCTCGCTAGCAAAGAAAAGACGTCTTTTCTGAATTAGAAAAATTATGTTGGGTCAATGAATTAGAAAATAAGGTGTCTCTTTTAATTTTAAATTTTTTTCTTAAAGTCTTTCATTAATTTTTTGGGATTTATGAGGTTCGTAACAAATTTTTTGTATAAAAATAAAAATGATAATGATTAGGAATCTGAAAGTCGGACATCAACCCTTACCTATTACTCTGATTTAAAAAAGGTGAAAAATTCTAGAGGGAGCAATGGCTCCACTGCACCCAAAATGGTTTTGCCACTCCTTGGCAAGTAAAAGTGTAATGCTATGTTTAGTTGGAGTAAAGGATTAAGGAGGGATGGATGAGAGGAGGGATAGAAGAATGTTTTGTGTTTGGTTGGAGGGAAGGGAAGAGAGGGAGGAAACAAGAGGGGTTTATTCCTTTGTAATTTTGTATTGAATGTTTTTGTGTTTGGTTTGAGGGAAGGGAAGAGAGGGAGGAAATAAGAGGGGTTTATTCCTTTGTAATTGTATTCGCATCAAATTGTGGGGAAGAAGAGAGAGAAAAAAGATAACTAATAATTATTAAGTAATATAAAATTACTAAAAAAAGAAATATACATTTTTAACCTTTCTAAAAATTTTAAATGAATATTAATTTTTTTAATTGTATATTAATAAAAAGAATACAAAAACTCTCTTTTTCTTCCTTCCAATAAAAAGAAAAAAAAAAAAAGAAAAATATTACCTATTTATCCTTTCTGCCATCCATTTTATTTAACCAAATAAAAAAGTGAGGAAGACTCCTTCCTTCGCCTCGTTCATCCCTCTTTGTTTTTCCCTCTTTCTTTCATCTATGTTTTTTTTTTTTTTTTTTTATTCCACCAAGCAAATGAAACATAAACGAATAACCCTAGACGAAAAGTTGTAAAGAATGATTTTCAACCAAGAAAAAGTTTAAACAGTGATGAAAAAGTGTAAAGGAGCATTTTCAACCAAGAAATAGTGTAAACAGCGATTTTTGTTGGGTTTGTAATTGATTTGAAAACTTGTTTGTCAACTCAAATAGTTATAGTTGATAAATTACAACAATTGACTAGCGACTGTTTAAAATATGGGGGACTTTAATGTTTAATTTTCCTCAATAACTTAATAGTGTTGAGATTCGTGCTTGCAAACAATTGATAAAAAAAAAAAAGGTAACTATAACAATGACTTTAACAAAACAATAATTATAAAAAATTATAAAATCATAATAATCACATAAAATAAATCTCGCTTATAAAAACCTTATAATTATTAATTCATTATTATTTCTTCATACTCAAACCCAACATTACCCATGCAAAGACTAGAACTCGGGCCGCTCTTCTTTAGAGGTTGGAAAGTTATACCATTGGCCCTTTGATTCACAAAAATCTTGTACCTTACGCATAACATTGTCCAAGCTGGGATAAGAATTCTCTTCTTTGAGGGTTGGGAAGTTATACAATTGGCCCATTAATTCACAAAAATTCTATTGTTGGGCGGATCCAAGGTGGGCTCAAAAAAGAAATCTCTATTATTATAGTCAATTTTAGCTCAGTCTAAAAAAAATTTATTATTAACCCACTCCATTGATAATTTTTGAATTGGCCATTGGTTGAATGATGTGTTAACTGTTGTCTTGTAAAATTTTTGTATAATCTGTTTTTTAACAGATATATAATTTTTTTTTTTTCGCCTTTCTCGGAACGTTATGTATTTGATTTGAGTAAAACGATCCAAAGAGTGGGCATTGGCTTATAGGCTAGTGAAAACAAAAATAAATAAATAAATAAAAATTGGGAAAAGAAAGAAGTCTGACGGCCCAATTGACCTGAACACGCAAAGGCCCAACAGAAATTTTAAATACTAGCCTAGTCCAACAATCCCCAACAGAGAATTCAAAAGATAAAGATCGTTATTTATTTCAATGGATTGATAATTCATGTCAAGCATTATTTTTCAGTAAGTGACAATAATTCCAACGGGTGTCTAAGTTTTCAATTAACCTAATTAAATAACTTTTATATCTTTTAGGTATATAAGTATATTACAATATGTACCTATACAATTTAATTTATTGGACAAATATAATTAATTTCAGTTTATAACATGAAAATGTGTTTTACTTTCGGTATATCCTTTCTTCTCATTTTTATTTTTTATCTTTTGTGAAGTTAATTTCAGTAATAATACCTTAAAAGAAAATATGACTTCTTAGCATTTCTGAGACATCTTAAGGAAGTGATTGTCTTTTATCTTTTTGTTATGTTGTGACTCTATACAACATAATACAGTAACATATAAATGAACTACCACAGAGTCCTACAAAGGTTTTAGTTGTTGGAGATAGAATTTAATCCATGACGACTTAGCGTTTTTCATCCAATGGTAATACATTTTAGAAGGAAAAACATTTTAGTTTATGCTTCGTTTGGTAGGAAACAAAAAAATTGAATGGATGAAAGAGAAGAAGAGATAAATGAGTCATTTTAGAGAAGAGATTGTCTTTCTATCAAAGGCTTTAGTTGTTGGAGTTTGAATTTATAGTATATTTTATTTGTAATTTTATTCAAGTAACCATAAATAGAATGTAATTTAACCAAAAAACACTAGGCATTGGCTATTGTTAAACCCTTCCATATTTTGTTCACACACGCCTTCTGACAATCTATTGACAATCTAAGATTGAAAAAGTTTTTACAACTTTTTATTTTTTAAAAAAAACTCACATTCTATATATATTTTCCTCATTAATTTCTTTTGCATTTTTCGGGTAGTTGTCATCTTTGTCCACGCAGATTAGCTACAATATAGATGGTGTAACTCATAACCATCATGTAGTTTCCAAAACCTAGCCAAGACCAGGCCCATTGGTTGCATCTGCATCTTCTTGAATTTGGAGGTTGAACCAAAAATCACTGCATAAATCATCATAGAACACATATGGACTTGTGTGTTCTTGGTACCATACTTGAGAAATTGGAACAATTTGTTCGGGATCAACATACGTCGCTTGGAGATCATCCATGTACAAATCTTGCATTGAAAATGGTTGTGCCCAAAAGCTTGAAAGATCTCCGAATGTTTCTGATGAGCCAATCGACTCTATGGTCATGTATTCATCAATTTGAATAGCGGGATCAGCTGCATGTGATGAAGAGCAACTACCCATGGATGAGAGTGGTGAAATTGTGATATCGATGTTCATGGATCCTACTGACTTTGAAGCTTCTATGACACCAGAAAGTGGAAGGTTGGTCTCAGCTAAGTTGTTTAGTTTGGCATCACATGACTCCTTAATCATTTCTACTTCTTTTGAGTCAGTCCTATGTGCTGGTATTTTGTCCTTCAACTGTTTCTTCAAAAGGGAGTGCCAACGATTCTTAATTTCATTATCAGTTCTTCCACAAAGTTTTGCCGAAATTGCTGACCATCTGTACAAATTCGCAAATGCTAGGTTTTTTCTTTTCCACAAAATCATGAAACTAAAGCATATACTTATATAAAAGTCATATATATATATATATATAATGGACACATATATATATATATATATATATATATATATATATATATATATCATGGACACAACAGACATCAATCAGTTCTGCTGCTATATTGCATGCCATATCTTTAGTTAGACAGCAATTCTGGAAGAGTGGAAGTTAAATTCTAGAAGAAAACTTAGAATTATATATACAACTTAATTGTATCTTCATATATATATAATCATTGCCATACAATGCTGGTAGAAATTATTTAATGTATGAAAGCAGTACCTGATTATTTTATTTTAATTTGGCACATTCCTATAGTAACGAAATTATCTAGACCTTACCAAGAAATGAAACGAAATTACATTTCAAGAGTTTCGGGGACACGGTATTAGGGTAGCAAATGCTTTTTGCAATAAGTGTGTATAATCATTGAAGATATTTCCAAAGATGGTGACTTACTTGTTTCCCAGCATTGCATGCAGTTTGTGTATGGTTTCATCTTCTTCCTTGCTAAAATTTCCACGCTTTATGTCCGGCCTTAAATAATTCATCCAACGAAGTCTACAACTCTTCCCGGACCTTAACAAACCTGGACAGTAAACAAACTCAAGAAGGTCAGCATAATCATGTACCAAAGCAAATCAAAATATGCACTATCAAATGAAGGTTTTAATTTCATATATAATCATACATATTCATATACATAGATTAATTGTTTACTAATTATATACCAGCAGCTTTTGGGGTGACATTCCAGTTCCAAATGCCATATCTCCTGATGTAAGCTATCAATCTTTGGTCTTCTTCAGGACTCCATGCCCCTTTCCTTAAAGAGGCCGTATTCTCAGAAAGAAGAGGAGCTCTCACCATCTCTCACTCTCTGAGAATCTCTCTTAATTTCACCTCTCAGTCGACTCAAAACACTTCATCGTGTAGTAGCTATTTATATCATATATATATATATATATATATAATTGTAAACGTGCTTAATTGCAAGTTGAAAATTTTTAATGGTTAATTGCAATGATATTCAAAGGATGAATTGCAAGAAATTTCAAAAGAGGGTTCCTTACTTCCTTCCAAAACATCAACTAATTAATATTTGTTTAATTGTGATTTGGTGCTGTATATAGAAACTTCCTTTTCCTGTTACTCAGTCACTTGTAGCAAGTAGACAAAATACATGCATGTACAAGTTTAAAATTAAAGAGAGGACGACCAAGACCAAGATAGTAAACCCCTTGATCGCTACGGACTTTTTTAATTTTACTTCATTATTAGCGCATATATATGATCAACAAGCGCGTAAACTCTTTTAGACCACCCTATTCAAGATCCATGCATCTTCCTTTGAAAGCTACTTATTATATATATATATATTGAATAGATTATAGTTTAGACATGCATTGCTCTAGGGAACATGAATGTATAACATAACAATTCATTTTTCCTGCTCGTATGGAGATTGTCAACTCAACAATTCATATTATGGGAAGAATAAAAAACAATTCATATTATGGGAAGAATAATTAATATATATATATATATTGAGGTTCATATGACGCTTAACAAATCGAACATCATAGTACTTAATTCACTAGTTTATCATTTGTCATTTATATATCTACATATCAAATATGGTATAATTAAATTAAGCTGTGAATTCCGACTTCCAAATACAAATTAATAGTCTATTAATTTTGGAACTCATGGTCATGGTGTTATAAGATTAAAAGGCCTCTGAACAAATGCATGTAGATTCCATCTTCCACACACTACACACATACACAGAGAGAGGGAGAGAATCTAAAAAAAATGTTATCTAGCTGGATGCAACGTGGAAGCAAAGATTTTAAAATCTTTAATCTTTCATTTTATTCTACTAAAAGGTAATAATCAGGCTGTGAAGAATATTTCAACCATCCAATTAATCCATTTTGTTTAATTTTTGAACCATTGTAGATGAAGTATAGGTGAATTCACATATATATATATAACAGAGTAAAATTTAGAAACTTTGCCATAAAAAGACTAAGAGATAAATCATTGCATAAATCTTCTAGGCTAGGCCAAATTTAAGTAGCTTATTAGTATGTGCTTTAACCATGCTAATTAGATAAGGTTCTTATTAGTCATTATAAAATTGCGAATATATATATATATATATATATATATATATATATATATTTATTTATAATATATTAATGATTAGACCTCGTCTTTGTTTATAATATGGTTCATAAATAATGCTTAAACCGCACATGTTATTTGGCTTATGTTGCAGATGACATCAACGTGCTAACATCATCAATGAGCTGCAACCAAAAAAAATTAATGAAAGAACAAAAAAGTACTCTTAAATCAACAAGTTGTATTAGTATCATATATAAAATATTGAAGATCAAGACAAACGGTACACTAAGTTTGAATTCATTGATGATGATAGCTTAACTTTATTTGAAGGAATTTTCTTCTACCATTGAGGATTATCTCTTTAATTATTTGAGATAAACACTGTTTTAACAAACTTACTAATTAGTAGCCCTCGGGAAGAATATAGCAAACATGATCCTTACTTACCAAAATATATATATAACAAACAACGACAAACTTATATGAAATGAATCACGTGTTTATATATATATATGTATATATATATATATATATATATATAATTAAACAAGCTTAATTCATTGCTTAATTAATATTACTGAAAGCAAACTACTGCTGGTGCATGAACTCCCAAGTCAAATTGCATAATCTTAGGAAAATCAACCATATATTCACGCATACCTTCTATTTCTGGATGGAATCAATATATCTAGTTTGTCATCATGCAGGTCTACTATATATATATATATAGATATTGCATACATGCAACTTAATTAGTTTAATTATCTGCATTAATTTTAAATGAATTCTAGAGTTAGACACATGTGCATTGACAACATTAAACAATTCTTTATCAAATGGAAATCTCCTAATATATCCACATGGGAACTTAGTTGACCAGATTGACCTGAGAAGATCAAAACCCACACTTTCCAAGAAGCTCGGTTTTACATTAATTTATTAGCCCATTGTGGATCCAAATTACCAGGACAGGACAGGACAGGATTACTTACCAAAAAAAATAAAAAAAATTATATTAGCATGACAGAACTTTGGTGCAACATCTAGTTTGTATCCCTTTGATGTGGTATATATTTATTTCGGTGTGTAACACATGGTTTCAAGAGATGTTGTTCTGGTTTTCGGGTCTCAACAAAATTAAATGAGATTTACATATGTAAATCTATAACAAGGGTGTTTTCAGTGAGCTTGTGCGACTCAGTGAGAGTCTCTCCTCCAGATTGAATTGCTAAATTACGAAATAATAATAAAGAAATTAAAAGACTAAACCGTTGAACTGGACTCTTTTTATCAAACTTCAACATGCATGCATAGTATTGACTTGGAAGTTAATTCATAATGTAATGTTATTACTGATCATGTACTCGTATCTTAATTGTTACAAGAGTTACTAAGGAACAATCCTAGTGTCATAGATGATAACTCTCATTTTGGTAAGTCTTTTAAAGACTAAATGTATATGATAATTCATAGGTGACTTGGGTAAATGCTTAAGACTATATGTTAAAAAAATTGATTCTACTCATTATTGAGATAATTTCAATTTAATAGTACTTTCCATGCTTAAGAATATATGTTAAATTTTTTTTGATAGTAGTATAATATGACAGAATGTCCTAGTGGTTGATAGGTTCTTGGATGTGCGTGATGTATGATTTGTGTTAGTTTAATTGTTAATTTGTATGTCAGCACTCAGCAGCATCGTTTTTGCTAATTAAGGTCTATAATTATTTTTTCATTGTAATGATGTTTGGTCGTGTTATTTTGTGCAATATGCGGAGGGTAGTGATGAGAAATCTCTTTGAACGACCAGTGTATAACATGATGGCGTGGTAGTAAATGTGAACTTACCCATAGAAAAAAAAAAAAGAAAAAGAAAAAAAAAAAAGAAGAAAAAGAATATGAAAGAAGAGAAAATAAAAGACTTGGTTAAAGTGACATGGAATTTGTGGTGTTGGAGACCTTGAACTTTTTAAGTGGCTTAATTGTGGCAATTGCCCCCACTAAATTTATTATTATTATTATTATTATTATTATTATACTTTATTATTTCATTTTGATATATATTCTTATAAAAATTTACTATTACCCCACTGAAATTCCTAAAAAACTTCACAATTACCCCATATATATTTTTGGGACTTCTGTCCCTCTGTATATGTGAAAAATACGTTGCAGGACTATTCTGCACAATGCCTTCTTAAAGTCACATTAAAAAATAGTTGTGCCACATGGATGGATAGACTAGAATTGAATCTCCATTATATATATATATTGAAAAAAAAAAATTAAATAAAGAAGGGAAAACCACCTAAATATGTAGTGCTTGCTTTAAATAAGTCGCACGATATGGATTGTTTCTCCAATCACAAAGCACAGGCTTCCTGAATCTAGAGGCTTGGAACAAATTGCATGTGCTATGCTCTCTTGCAATTTAGGGAAAGAATATGAGAATTAAAATTCTATATAATATAATTAACGATGGTGTTATATTCAATTTATAGAGTAATACCTAATTAAAATAGGTAACTAAATATATAATAATCAGGAAACTAATTATCTACCAATTAGCCCTAAATCAAGAAGTAAATAATTCAATCCTAAGCTGCATGTACAATCTGTATAATCCTGAATTACACGTAGTCAAATCTCAATACTCCTCCTCAAGTTGGTGCATAGATGTCACACATGCCCAACTTGTCTAAAATTTTTGAAAACACTCGATTTGAGACTGCTTTGGTGAGAATGTCGGCTAATTGATATTCAGATCGAATCTTAGGCAACTCCACAATTTTTTCATCTAACTTTTCCTTAATGAAGAATCTGTCTATTTCGATATGCTTCGTACGATCATGTTGAACTAGATTATGGGTAATATCACATGCTGTTTTATTGTCACAATATAGTCGAATCGATTGCCCAGGTAAATGACCCAAATCCCGCAAGAGAAGTCTTACCCACAAAGTTTCACAAAGTCCAAGCGTCATACCTCTGAATTCAGCTTCTGCACTCGAGCGAGCAACAACATTTTGTTTCTTGCTTCTCCATGTAACAAGATTACCTTCTACAAAAGTGAAGTAACCAGAAGTAGATCGTCTATCATCTATAGCTCCAACCTAGTCAGCATTAGTATATGCATCTATGTTTTGATAACCGGCATTTTTAGTGAACAAAATTCCTTTTACAAGAGCAGATTTCAGATACCTCAAAATGCATATAACTGCATTCATATGTTGTTCTCCAAGATCATGCATAAATTAACTAACAATACACAATGCATAAGTCAGATCCGGTCTTGTGTGTGCTAAGTACATCAATCTCCCTACAAGTCTTTGGTATCTTCCTTTATTAGCAGGTACTTGGTTGGACTCAACACATAACTTCAGTCTTTCTTCCACTGGTGTCTTAATTGGTTGACTTGTTGTCATACCAGTATCTTGTAACTGATCTAAGGCATATTTTCTTTGAGATAGAAAAATTCCTTTATTAGATCGAGATATTTCGATCCCAAGAAAATATCTCAAAGGACCTAGATCTTTCATTTCAAATTCTATGGACAAGTACTTCTTGAGAACCTTCATTTCTTCAGGATCATTCCCTATAACCACCATGTCATCTACATATACAATAAGCGCAGTGATCTTACCCTATTATTTCTTTAGGAATAATGTGTGGTCTGAATTACTCTGACGGTAGCCAAAGGTTATCATCGACTTTGTGAATCTTCCAAACCATGC